AAACTAGAACATGAGAGGATTAGTCGCAGGCAGCTTCAGCCCAAGATTCCAAGGAATCAGGGATACCACCAAAAACCTCCAGACAAAAGGGCACGATGGAAAAATTGAGCACTAGATAGGGAAACAGTAGATGATGGATCTACCCCTATCTAGACTTTTGATAGGTTAAGATAAAAAATTTGTAATTATCACATTTTAATTGCTTTTGTTAAAAAATATATAACAGTAAATAAAAACAAGGATTTGTAGTACTCACTACATACTCAATGTAGTTTGCACTCAAGTAAACATTTTTTAATAAGCCTCATTGTCTCACAAATTTGGGCATCCAAAAAAGAATACATATATCTTTCAAATAAGCATTTTACAACACAAAGAATACACAGTCACTAGAATAGAATGTCTCAAACTAATATAATTTATCTGGCTTTCTAAGTAAACCATAAATAGGTTAAAAAATTCTGCTTGATGTTTGGAGAAGGAATGTAATATCCACACATAAAGAAACCACAATGGTTATTCTACTGATGCCAAAACGAAATAGCTGTAATGAGACTTACACAGAGGAAAATTTGCTCTTCATATTGGTTATAAGCATGTCCATCAGCTGTTGACAGTTGATTAACAAAACAATCTCAAAAGTAAAACAATAAAGGGGAAGGTAGAAGGTTTAAATTTTAGATTCCTGATTTTAATCATATATAATGTGTGCTTCTAACCGACTGGCTGGAAACTACAGCAACATTTTTTAGAAGTTAGAAAATTCTGAAGTGGAGAATTAAGAGCTGAAATGCATCATGTGATACAGAAAAAAAGACAACTGAGAATTTAAATATTTCTTTTTAAAATGAAGAAGTTAAAATTTAGATAATATAATATATTACGAATTATACACTACATTGATAATGAAGTTGTTTAATTATATTTCGATTGTAGCATCATAAAAGGTCATGACATGTGCTGAGAACTAGGCCTGGATATATGTTAATATACTTTTTTGAATAATCCTAACCTTGTCCATTAAGCTGTCCAAATACACTGATCGAGCCGTATGACTTGGATGTGTCGAGAGCCAATCCATACTTTCAACCTCTCCTTGTAAAGTTTTCAGTAGTCCTATTTTCGACCAGAATGCACTGCTTTCTCGAACATCGAAACATGCCTACAAATAATATTACAGTGAAAAGATGTTTAGTAAAAAAAACACTACTACTTAGCTAGTACCATTCTAAAACCTTGTACTGTCAAATTAGTCACAGTTTGCTAGTTCTTTAGGCTTATATTTAGTAAAGTAAATGCTTCATCTTTCATTGAATATATGTAGTTTTAAGACATATGATATACAAGCTATATATTTATTACCATTTTATTTTCTGGTACTTTACAATAGATAAAACAATTATCTTCTTCAAAAAATTCAACTCATACAATTTTGATTTGCATAAAACAATCATTGACTAAATGAGTATTCACCATTAAGTCAATTGCTAAATAAGATTAACATCACAAAATTATTGCGTCAATATTACACAAATTCACTTTAAAACAAAGAAATCATACAATATCATGTAATCTATAAAGTGAAGTCCAAAAGAGAAGTTTAATTTGGTACCTTTGCTGCTAATTGAAGCCCCACTTCATCTGCTTCTATTTCTAGCTTTCGATTATAAGGCAAGTGAAGAAGTATCTGTAACATATTTATTTTAGACACATGAAATGCAGAAGTTTTGGTAAAATAACTTATAATGATATATTTAATAAACATTATTGAAATGTGGGATTTCCATGAAAAAGTATCAAGACACACAGTAGTGTGTTATGCGACCAAAACAACTTGCAGAAAACACTGTGTGTTTTTAACAGGAGTGATAATATAGCAATTTTCCACTTTCTGTAGCTCGGACTGTGGCAATCCAAACAATCACATATTTTCAGTGGATATGCTCTACTAGATCCTTACTTCACATATCAAATTCAAGGCAATCCATTAAGAAATACGCAAGATATAAAATCAATTTTGATTGCATTTTTTCCTTTTTTTTCTTCTTCACACCGTAAGTATGGAAAATTTATTTGTTGGTGAAACATAGTTAACGTTTATGGACTTTTTTCAAATTTTGTACACTGATAGATCTTTACAACCTACAATCAGGTGTCAAATTTGGTCTAAATATAAGCTATAAGTTCAAAGTTATTCTACAAAAAATGCTCAAATTTGACCAAAATGTTTGTGCACACATACACAAAAAGTCACACGAGCCACCAGTCTAAAATTTTTATTACAGCTTCACCCATGATTAAAAATGGACTGTTTTTAGTTTTTTGTCATACGGATTAAAGAAGGCTGATTTCGTCCAGCAAAACTATAGGGTGAAAGAATGTGCAGATACACAAGTATTGGTTAAGCCAAGTAAACTAGATTAGCAGTTTCTAGCCCAAGTTTACAAAAGGATCATAAGGTGTATGGCTATTATTCATTGCCAAATTATAAACAAAAATTTGTTAAATTTTATTAAATTCTCCTAATTAAAGAGCATTTAGCATCGTGTGATATTAACATAAATAATGATGCTTGATACAGGTGTACCGAGTGCATGCGGGTGATGACAAAAACTGTTAACGTATATTCCATGACGTTACTGTAAGAAAGTTATTAACACTGTTTTAGAGGAGAAAAACTACCACCATATATTTTAAAGAATCATGTTGGTTCTGTAAAGCATAGGTCTGTTCTAAATAATAGGGTTGCAATCCTACAGCTAATGTTAGCTACTATTGAGTATCACATTCTTACTTGCTGTGGTTTGTTGGTGTGTATTGGCAAAGTCATATCTAATCAAAAACACCTTAGGTGTGAAAAAAAGGTGAGGCCAAAAAAGGATTTAGTGTGCAACTCAAAGAAATGAAATCAAAATTGGCAGCTTCACTTATAGCTTTGATAAGAATTTTATAGCAAATATTCATTCATTAGTTAACCAGGCCATGAATTTTGTTTTACCCACTTGGGTAAAACAAAATATGTGGCCTAGCTAACTAATGAATGAATATTTGCTGTAAAATTCTTATCAAAGCTATAAGTGTATCTACCAGTTAGGTCACCAATTTTGATTTCATTATTTTAAGTCGCACACTCAATCCTCTTTTGACCACAATTATTTTTTTCACACCTAAGGTGTTTTTGATTAAATTCTATAAATTAAGAGCACGTGAATATGAAATACAACTGCACACTCAAGTTCTATCTTTCTTCAAATATTTAGACACTCAAAAAAGAATTTTTCTCAGTAACTACTGTTCAACTTAGCAATATATTGTATTACTATAAGTGTATTGATAAAAAGTAACCATTAAAACCAGATGGTGTAGTTTATATAAACATTAATCAATTTTACAAAATTCTAAATAAATAAATGAGTAACATATATTTATAGAGTTGTAGCTTCAGTTTCACAAAACACTTCAATTACTATTTAAATTCTGATTTACTAACCTAAACTCTCATCAGTAATCACAGATATCTAACAGTACTTTTAGTTTGGTCAAATTGGAAAATCATCCTTGTTTGGATAAATTATCACAAATGTTTAAGATACTGTGTATGAAACAAGTAAAATCAGAAAGAGTAAATAATTCAAAACAACGATGCATTCAAGATTTGTCTGTTGTTCATCAGAAGCAAGAAAAACAGCTTTTGAAGATATTCAAACATTTGAATTTAATTTTTTTTCACCCTTTCAATAACTTTGTTGTGAATGTCACACTACTTTATTTCAAAATATATTAGAGAGATACAAATTAAATAAATGCATAAAGTATTTTGTACTTACATCTACTACTTTATGGAAAAACCAGTGAGTAACTGCAGCAATTCCATCACTAGGAAGAAAGGCCCAAATAGCTGCCAAGACCACTATTACAGTCAGGTCCAATAGATGTGCAAAACTGACTTGTTCTGCCTAAGAAGAAAATAATGAATAACTATTCAAAAAATCAACTAAGTAATGGAAAATTTTGCTACAGCTTATGGAAAATCACATTTAACTCTTATTGTACTGATAACATCATATTGTTACGACAGTGGAAGTCATGCGACGCTGGGAGCATGCGGGCTCAAGTTTCTAGAAGGATCTTGACTTAGCGAGCAAACCTCACGAATGTCCCAGCTATTGCTAGACCCCCTCTTTTTTAGTATATAAGCCAGAGATAGCCAAGAATTGATGATACTCTCGATGCCTTAAGTGGAGCCAGGTGGTTTTCAACTCTGGACATAAAGTCAGGTTTCCATCAAGTGCAAATGGCTGAAGCAGATAAACCTAAGACTGCATTTAGTTAAGGCCAAGGTCTCTGGCAATACCGTGTGATGCCATTCGGCTTAGCAATGCTTCAGCAACATTTGAGAGGCTGATGGAAAGAGTACTGGAAGGCCTACAATGGAGGATAGCCCAAGTATACCTGGACGATGTCATTGTGTTTGTAACAACATTTGATGAGGAAATGTCCCGGCTAAAAGAAGTATTCAAGCGTTTGAAAGCAGCAAACCTCAAACTCCATCC